AAAGAAAATAAGTGTTCAAATAAAAGACTTTAATAAACAAATTATCGAAGTTTTGAAGCGTAATTACACAAAAGTAAAAAATGGAATACATGACTAAATGTTTGTCTATGAAGCCTCTAACACGACACAGTAATATCTACCAGGACAAGGTCCCCGATCTACCTTTAGCTAATCAACTACTACTAACTACTAAGTTGTACTTAATATGACTATGTCCTCTTGGGTGTAAGGAGGATTCAATTAAGCTGGGGAAACTAGAGCCAAATGATCTTTTTTCAATGAGACTGAAACCCCAAATTTGCATCATAAAATGATGCAGCGCCAAATTTGTAAGTACATGGAATATACAATATGTAAAATAATTTAATGGAAATGATATTATAATATGTAAAGCTGAACAACAAATATAAATATGATAGATATAAAAACATGAAATATTTGTGTCTAAAAATATAAGAAACATATTTTTATTATCAAAATCCAATTAGTACAACTAAAGAGTTTAAACGAAACTTCATAAATTTTGCACCCGTTGACAAAACTGAATATTTGTATGCAATGAGTTTTTCAAAATCTCTGAAGCTGGTGAAAAAAATCATTTTTCATAAAATAATAACTCATAGAAATAGTCTTTTAATTTCATAATATATCACACGTTATAACTTAACGTCAAATAACCACCATGGGCGCATAGGGAGTTTGATCTCGGTTCAATCAGCTAAGCCACCATATACCATGAAAAGGAATGCGACATGCATGTCTTGTGGATCCATAATAAGCACTTATAAGGGGCACATAAAGGAGTCGTTTGAACAAATAATACAATTCTTAACTTATCTAACATAAGCATTTTCATGCATTTGTTATATGAACTTATGCCTTGACAGTGTTTAGCGTTACTCACAAAAGAATCATAATAGAGCTTTAAGCTCATATATCATAATTTTGCATAACGCCTGTGAAAAGCTTGTTTGGATTGTAAGCCAATACTTCATAACATGAATCATACACACATCTTGTAGAGATTATGAAAGTCACATGTTTATCTTGAACGCCCATAATTCATAATATGAATGGTGTAAATATCATTTAGGGATTATGAGAAAACATACTTCATATTTCGTAGGATGAAAAATCATTGAAGGAAACTTGAAATCCATATACTATAGTTCATAATATGGAATCATGTAAATAAAATAATAAATAACAGAGTTCGTAGTTTGGGCAGAACTTCATAGTATTGATGCTTAGAATAAATGTCATGAAAATCATAATTCATACTCTTGGAATCTCTTGGTGAAAAGGGGACAAAATCCTGAAATAAGATTTTCTTAGAGAATGAATGATATTGCAGGGAATTATTAGGACATAAGGATTTGTAATTAGAATTATGACTTTTTCCATACATAACTTGATAGTTCATGGAGGAAATTAAATGCGCATGGAAGAATCAAAAAAACTTTTATGGAAGATTACATAAGGGCATTAAGAATAAAGGAAATATATGATAATGGCATCATAAGTTCTTTTTTTTGGGAGGAAGTTCATAGCTTATGATTCTAGGGATCATAACATAAGAAGAATTTTCAACAAAACATCAAGAAACAATTAAGAAATTATTAAGAAGTCACTAAACTTAGTTTTCAATATAAAAACTATTACATTCATTATTTCATGGGGAAAAAAATCTTGTAACTACTTATGGAGGTAAGAATATTCATCAGAATATTATACTTTTATGGAGTATTATTCTTAGGGTTTCGTAAAGAATCTTGAACAATGCAAGAACATAGAGTTTCATTGTAACCCTAACTCATTCATGAAAGATACTCTAAAAACATAGAAATGTAGTTTGTGGGAAAGAATAAAATTTCCCCACACATTGATATAGGCTTACATACTTGGATGAAGAAAAACATTGGGCATGGAACCTTATAGCTTGAACTTGAGAAACCCTTCTATGTAGTTCTTGAAGATTGATAGTAAAACAGATTCAAGAAGCAAAAATAGAATAGAGAAAGAGAGGCAGTAAACGTGGAAAGAAATTTCCTTGATTGATGCATTTCAATGCTGCTACTGCAGTCTTTTTTATAGCAAAATAAAACACAACAGACTTCAACTAAAAATTAGGAATTATTCTACAAAGATTTCTCCTAAAACTAGATAACAACCCACATATAAAACTACTTCCTAAAGACTAGCACAAACCTATCAGATAGGAATTTTATTTACTAACAACTCTTATTTTATTAATGGGACTCTTTTAAAACTAACCCTCCCTTAAACTGAAAGCTCTCATGCTTCAGTTTAACTTCAACTTCTTGAACTCTTCCGTAGTGCCAATTCCAATCAACCTCCTCAAATTTTGGGAAGGAAATAGCCTGAGAGGTTTGGTAAAGATATCTGCCAGTTGGTCTTCACTTCGGAAATATTCCAACTTTATTGTTCCTTCGTCGTTGAGGTCTCGCAGAAAATAATACTTCACGTCAATGTGCTTGCTTCTTCCATGTAGCACAGGATTTTTTGATAACTTGATCGCAGAGTTGTTGTCGCAGAAATTGTAGTTGCTCTTTCTTGTTTGAATTGTAGTTCTTCAAAAATTCTTCGTAACCAAGCAGCTTGACAAGCACAAGTTGTAGCAGCAACAAATTCTGCTTCAGTACTCGATAAAGTGACAATTTTTTGCTTCCTGGAAGACCACGAAACAGCCCCTGTGCCTAGCATAAAAACATAACCCAAAGTGCTCTTTCTATCTTCTTGATCTCCTGCATAGTTGTTGTCCGTAAAGCCAATCAAATCTGACTTTTCTCCTTTCTGGTAGAAAATGCCAAAATCTTTCGTTCCTTGTAAGTAGCGAAGAATTCTCTTCGCAGCTAACAAATGCATCTCCGTTGGACTCTCCATATACTTACAAGACTTACTGCATACATAATGTCAGGTCTTGTGACAGTTAGGTACATTAAATTACCCACAATTTGTTTGTAAAGCGTGCTATCCACCTTCGTTCCTCTCCCAGCTTTGTTTAGTTTTAAGCCAAACTTAACTGGTGTGTTGGTCGGATTGCAGTTCAGCATCTTGAGCCTATCTAAAATTTCTCGCACATACTTCTTTTGGAAAATAAATATCCCATCATTAGATTGCACCACTTCTAATCCAAGAAAGTAATGCATATTACCAAGATCAGACATCTCAAACTCATCCATCATAGACTTCTTGAATTCCGCAAACATGGCACTATTGTTCCTAGTATATATAAGATCATCAACATATAAGCATACAATAAGCATTTTCGCATCATCCCCAATCTTCACAAAAAGTGTATGCTCATATGGACACTTTTGAAAACCCATTTTCAGAAAATAAGTCTCAATGCGACTATACCAAGCTAGGGCGGCTTGCTTTAGTCCATAAAGGGCCTTCTTTAAGCGATAAACTTTATGCTCATTTCCAACCTTAACATAACCATGAGGTTGTTTGATAAATACCTCTTCCACCAAATATCTGTGTAGGAAAGCTGATTTGACATCCAACTGGAAGATAGGCCATGAATTTTGCGCCGACAATGCAATTACCATTCTGATGGTATCATGTCTTGCAATTGGAGCATAAACTTATGTGTAGTCCACACAGTACTCCTGCTTGTATCCCTTAGCCACCAATCGCGCCTTATATTTGTCAATTTCACCATTTTCCTTTAGTTTCGTCTTGTAGACCCACTTGACGCCAATGGTTTTCTGCTTCTCAGGAAGATCAATAAGCTCCCAAGTATCGTTCCTTTCAATAGCTTCAATTTCAGCATCCATCGCCTTTCTCCATATTTCTTCTCTAACAACACTCTAAAAAATTGTAGGGTCGCAATCCGCAAACAATGCAAAATGAGTAATTGCATCATCATTTACCTCAATTCTTGTTACCTCATAGTTCGACATCTATGCAGGCCTTTTTCGAGTACGCCGAAGTGACTGAGCTGCTGAATCAGTTTCTTGCAAAACTGTTGGAAAATTACCACCAGCTGTTTGTGTAATTTCAGCGGTTGTAGGAGCATAATCCTTTGAATTTTCGGGTATTAAGGTCGGTTCTTCGAGTTTATTCTCAAATAAGACTGGGGTAGGCTGCTGCATATTCCAATCCCAAGTAGTTTCTTCATCAAAAACAACATCTCGACTGATCACAATCTTTTATGTTTGTGAATTAAATAATGTATATGCCTTGGATGTTTCACTAACACCAAGAAATACACATTTTTCACTTTTACCATCGAGCTTCTTCCTTTTTTCATCTGGGACATGTGCATACGCAATGTACTCAAAAATTCGAAAGTGATCTACAGCAGGCCTTCTTCCACTCCACGCCTCCTCTGGATTCATGTTCTTAACATAAAATGTAGGGCTTCTATTCAAGATGTGAATGCTCCAAGTTATCCCTTCTGGCCAAAAACTCTTTTCCACTCTCCCTTTTGCCAGCAAACTCCGAACCATATTGAGGATGGTTTTATTTTTCCTCTCTGATACACCATTTTGTTGTGGTGTATAAGCTGTTGTAAGCTCTTTTCTAATGCCATCAGATTCACAAAAATTATCAAAAACTTTAGAGCAATACTCGCCACCACGATCCGTCCGAAGAATCTTGATTTTCTTTCCCGTCTCATTTTCTACATGAACCTTGAAGCTTTTAAATTCTTTAAAAGCCTCAGATTTTTTGTGTAAATAATAAACCCATGTTTTTCGGGAAAAATCATCAGTAAACGTATTAAAGTATCATTTACCTCCATTAGAAGCTGGTTTGATTGGGCCACAAATGTCCGAATGTATCAGCTCCAAGACATCATTGGCTCTCCATGACTTTCCTTTTGGAAATTGAGAACGATCTTGTTTGCCAACAACACATTCCTCGCATGTTTGGGACGAAATTGTAATTTCAGGAAGACCTGTCACCATATTTTTTTGTTAGAGAACTTTTAATCCGCCAAAACCCAAGTGACCATATCTAAAATGCCACAATCATGACGGATCTCTTACTTCTGATTTCAAATAACGGTGAATATTCTCTATATTTAGCGGGAACAACCTGTTTGAACTCATTTTTACAACAACAATAGCTCCTCTAGTAGGATTATAAATCTCACATGCACCTTTCTCAATAGTTATAACATATCTTTTTTCTTGCAATTGTCCAACACTTAGCAGATTGTTTTTCAAAGCAGGAACATATAGCACATTTGAGATCGTTTCTTCAAAACCATTCTTGGTTCTAATCTTAATATCACCCTTTCCAATTGCACTCACAGTGGAAGAATCACAAAAACTAATTGTTGAACGGAAGTCTTCATTCAAAGAAGAAAAAAAAGACTTACTTCCACACATGTGATTACTGCAGCCCATATCCAAATACCAAACGTTTTGTTCAGGTTCCTTCTCTACTTGGACTGCCATCAACAATATCCCAACGTCGTTACTTTTAGCAAAATTTGACTTCTCATCCTTGTCATTAGGCATACTGGTATAACATTCAGACTTATAATGACCAAATTTATGACATCGATAGCATTCTACTTTGGATTTGTCAAAATTCCTTCCTCTGCCTTTACCGTGGTCATCATTGGCTCTGAAATTCCTACTGCTGTCTTTGATGCCTTCATCTCTATATCCTCGATCACCTCTTCCTCTTCCTCTACCTCTACCCCTTCCTCTAAAATTTGAGAAACGAGTATTAGTAGAAACCTTCAAAGCCTATTTTTCGGAAGATGAATTGCGGTTCATTTTTTGCTCATGTACCAATAAGGAACTTTGTAATTCGTCAAGCGATAACTCATCTATATCTTTTGACTCCTCAATGGAGAAAATGACATAGTCATACTTCTGCGTCAGGGAGCGCAATATCTTTTCCACAATTGTGACATCAATCATCTTTTCACAATGAAATCGCATTTTGTTACTTATCTCCATTGTTTTAGCACAATAACTCGTTATAGACTCTCCTTCCTTTATTTGTAAAAGTCTCGAAATCCCTTCTCAAGGCTTGAAGTTGTGCACGCTTCACTCTAGCAATACCTTGATATTTTTTCTTCATCGAATCCCAAATATCCTTAGAAGTTTCTTTGCAAAGAATAGTTTCTAGGATGGGACGATCGATAGCCTAAAAGTGATAATTCTTTGCCTTCAAAACTTTTAAATTTCTTGCTTCAAACTCCGCCTTTTGAGCATTTATTAAGGCTTCACCTTCCGCCGGAGCTCCGATTCCATCCTCGACAATTGGCCAATACTCCTTTGACCATAAGAAGTTCTCCATCAGCATACTCCAATGGTCATAGTGACCATCATAACATGGAATAGCTGCTTGAATGTAATTTCTCTCAGAAGCCATAAACTAGCAATATTTCTCTCTATTTTTTTTCTTCTTCTTTTTGGATCTCACTTGGCTCTGATACCACTGATAGTAAAACAGATTCAAGAAGCAAAAATAGAATAGAGAAAGAGAGGAAGTAAACGCGAAAAGAAATTTCCTTTACTGATGCATTTCAATGGTGCTACTGCAGTCTTTTTTATAGAAAAATAAAACAAAGAAGACTTCAACTAAAAATTAGGAATTATCCTACAAAGCTTTCTCCAAAAAACTAGATAACAACCCACGTATAAAACTACTTCCTAAAGACTAGCACAAACCTATCAGATAGGAATTTTATTTACTAACAACTCCTATTTTACTAACGGGACTCTTTTAAAACTAACAAATATGAAGCATGAGGAAGAATCTTAATTCAAAACCCTAGGATTCTTGACAAGAATCATGAACTTGGAGCCTTTAGATCTTGGAAAATTGAAAATATCTCCTACTTAATGTTCTTGATATTTTAGAGAATGTGAATTATGGAATATGAGTCCCACGAGGTAATTTGAACGATATGTTTGTGTGAGTCCAACGAGGTAATTTGAGTTGCATAAGTCTTGTGTGAACTCTTAGCATCTCATTGTGAGTAGTCGAATATCAAGTGTGAACCTTGCAATGATCGTTGCACGCGATCTTAACTTGTAGAGCTATGATCAATGATTATGTTTGGAGGTCATGTTTGATGAGGTTTACTTGAAAAGTGTGCTTGAGGATACCTAGAACTTGCCCATTGGTCCAATTGATTAGCATTGGTGAATGAAATAAATGATCTTAGGCATAAATTTTAACAGTGAACCTAATTGCTATACCTTTGTGTGACCACCTTGTGAGTGTATGAATCTCACTTGGCACCGTTTGAGCCTAACCTTTCCTTTGGATGCAACATGAATAAAATGTTTAAACTAGTTTCGAAATCATCGTATCCTCCCCCCAATAGCCTTCGTGGAGCATAGGTTTGTTTGAATAGCCAACTTAGGCCAAAAGCCTAAGTTGGAGTGCGGTAAGAATGAGGAATCAAACCAAGCAAGAAGTTCGTGAAGTTTGTCCTTGGAAATTTGTGATGAAAAGATGGGACCCTTCCATATATTTAAAAAAGTGAAAGAAACGAGAAGAAAGAAAAGAAAAGAATAATTTGTATCTGTTCTGCATTTTTGTTGAAATAAAAGGGGTATCCGATGAGTTATACCATAAGTTTTGTGTGCTATGACTAGGACAAGGATGAGTTGTAAATATGAAAAAAATGATAGAAAAGGAAAAGAAGTGAAATTTGAGTCATGCTTCATGAAGGTATAGTAACTACATCGAAATGATCATACATTTACCCTCAACCCAATTACAAGCTTTGAAAGACCTTTGTGATCTTGCATAAGCCAAGTGTTGTGTTGGTTGGAAAATACGGGCAAGCCTATGGGTAAGATGATGCATGTTTTTCTCAGTTAGAGTGTGAGAGTTGATTTCGATTCCTTAATTTTAGTCCATGATTGGCTTTGTGAGAGCATGGAATCATTCTCTATGTAGGGCATTCAAGTACTTTTGTTGGGCATAAATTTGCAGTAGAAGTAAGCATTTGTGAGCATGAACTCTAATTGATGATGACTAGTCATAGTTTGTAACTTTGAGTGCACAATTGAACATTGCATGTTTAGATTTAACCGCTTGTGCACTTTCATGTTGAGTCTCAACGAACATTGCTTGTAGACATTCCTATTGACCTGATTGATCTAGTGTTTTTACTTTAGGAAAAGCAAAAAGTTTGAGTTGGGGGTGTTGATGAGTCGGGAATTTAGACTCATTTAGCACTTGTTATTTAATGAATTAGTGTTCTCATTGCCTATTTTATGTTTATAACTGAGGTTAAATTGTTTATGTGTAGCCATGAAGACTTAAGAACAAGGCAAGGACGTTACATTGCGAAAAGAAGCGAAAAAGTAAGGCTAGAGCTCGTAAAAGTCACTCGGTGACTAGCCAAGTGAGCTTTTAGCTCGCCAAAAGATCCAGCGAGTTTAGCTTAGGAACTAAACCAACTCGGCAAACTCAAGTGCAAAACGGTGCATCGCAGAATGAAACAGTGAGCTAGACCTAGATCGCCTAAAGGAACAGATCAACTGAAGAGGGAAATCAATTCCAATCGGTGAGAAAGGATCCAAACATCGAGTCGCCAAATCCATTCGGCGACATCCACCGGGTTCGCCAACTGAGACGTCAAAAATTCAAATACTGAAGTTAAAGTTTGGCGATAAGGCCTACTGATCGGTGGTTCGCCGAGTCGTTCGGCAAACCTGACTAATATCGCCGACCTGGCCTCAAGAATGAAATTTGGGGAAGTTTTTGGAAACATATAAATTTGTTTTTGAATATTTTACTGATAGAAACTTTTGTTCTCTTGGAGATTTTGAACTAAGATAGTGAGGTTTGAGGGTTTTAGTCTTAGTTTTTGGCGTTGAGTATTGAAGATTTTGGCATCTTGATGGAACATCTCTATGGTAACTTTTACTTACTTTTTATTATGTTTGGCTAAACCCTTTTACTTTAGGGGTGTGATTATGTAATCGAATAGACAAATTACCTTGTGTATTGTTAACTGCTAGATTTAATATTGTTTTGAAATGGGTTCATTCTTTACTCATGTTTTCATTTATGGATTTAAGTTCCAAATTCAGTTTTAGCTTTAGCTCTCTAAGTTTGCTTATGAAAGATCCTTAGGGTGGAGTATATAATTGATAGTTGTATTGACTCTTTTCTTTACAACCCAGCTTGATAAAGTGGGTTAAATTAAGGAATTGGGTTGCTTCGCATCATAAGATTGTTGAGGTTTGAAAGAACTTGCATGAAACACAATAGTTGATTGAAAAATGGATGTTATAGTTACAATCCACCCTACCCATTGAGATTCAACGACTTAAAGCAATTACTCATTACCCATTATGCGAAATTAGTATTTGATTGCACACACACTCCTAAGGTCCCCTCTCTACTTTATCAAACCCTACGTTAATTGTCTTCCTTAATAATAGGTTGCTAAATCCTCTTAATATTGATAATCAAAATTTATTGATTTACATTATGTTGAGTTTTGGTTGTTTCCATTCTATAAAAAGTAAGAACACTTTCATATTTCCTATTTGAATTATGTTCCATACCATTCCTCATGGGATCGACCCCAACTTATCATTGGGTTTATACTTGTTAACGTCCGCCTACGCTTTGAATTGTAAGTGGTGTAGCTGAGAGTTATCAATGAATTGTGTATTTATATGGAATTTATCATCTTCTCATTATTCGTGTGAACATGCCAATTTGCATTGGTTCTAAAACACTATGATGAGATTTGGATTGGTGTTAATGCAGAAGGAAATGGTTCTAGTGACTCTTGTTTATGGTGAAGGAAAATGGTTCCGGTGATACCGAAGGGAAACGGTTTCGACAAATGAGATATGCCGAAGGGAAATTGTTCTGACAGATACATAGACCTTTTGAGTCCCCCATGGGTCCCGATCAATGTCTCAACGAGTGTGTATTGTTAGGATAGACATGTATCACTATATATGATATTGCATTTCATTGCATTGCACATCTTTATTGTTCTTTGATCTTTATGAGTGATTTGTTATAGCCATTGTGGTTGTTTGAACATGAAAGAATGTGATGATAATTTGTATATATTGAGGTGCATGTGGCGATGTAATCATATGTGCTACGTGCTATATACATTGTGAATTGTTAGGTTGGGTTAATCTGTTTGTTATGTAGGTTGTAGTATGTGGAGGTTTGGATGGAGTATTTGGAGTACATGTGTTCTTTATTACTTTACTTACGGTTAGTAGGGATGCTTGCTGAGTACAATTGTTGTTTGGTACTCACTCCCTTGATTTCTACACTTGTGTAGGTTATGAGCCTAGATCATCTTGATCATCCCCTTCTCATATTCGTTTGAGGCTTGCTTTCAGAGTTCGTCAGGTAGCTTGTTGTCATCTAGGCAGATATCACCTACTCTTTCATGATGTCGTTGTATGATCCATATACTAAGACATTCAAACTTGTATTTTTTAAATCTATTTTAATAATTAGAGGTTTGAAAATGTGACACTAGCTTTTGGGGGCATTTGAGTTATATTACAATTTCCGCATATTTATTTTGTGTTTAGTTCCTTATTCTGTTCTTACTTCCACATTTACCTTATCGAGGTTTGTTTAGGTTGACCTGTCTTTGTGGGATAATACATGTCATCACTCCCGATTTTTGGATCGTGTCATTTATCCACATGGTAATTACGTTTTAGAATAAACTAATATTTTCTTCTTAAAGTGTCTTTTTAATAACTAATTAAATTGATCTTTACAGGAATAGGTATGTATTGTCGGCTAGTGTCAAGAAACAATCTGCTTATGTCCACTACTAATCGGATTGGAAAAATTATTTTCATTGTTTACAAGCTGATTTTCTTGTATTTTGCACCTAATAAAAGAGGAGTCAACGTCATTTTAATATATCGTGCAGCATTTATTGAAAAGTGCTATATTCTATGTTTTCAATTTATGGAGAAAGCAAAACAGAAGT